TAAATTACAATTACAATTCAAATAAATTTCATTTTCAATTCAAACGTAATTAATACATTAATTCATTGTTGCATTGTATTCTTACACTTTTCATATTACAATTGCAATTAACGCAACAGAGTTAATTAATCGGAGACTATAACCACACTATGCAGACGGAAAAAACAATTCCTTTCACGTGTTCTCACGCAGAATATTTTTTCTTTATCTTCCGGTGAGCTGACTATAAAACCTACATAACCAGGAACTGTCGAAATGCAGTCTCTGAGCCATTAAAAATATACATTACTGATATTTAGAGACCTTCAGATATTTTTTATTTATTTATATTCATACATTACTCATACTTTAATAATGAAGTGAAGGATCATCAGAAGAAAAAATTAGAAAACAATAACAATGTACAAGATGGCGATTTTTTATCAAGCACTGATGAAATGAAATTGCTTGGTGATATTTTCATTCGACAATTTGTTGACATTTATTACTAAAAAAAATATCCGTTCTCTAATTGAACTCCACGTTAGGTCGTGAAAACTGTTGTCGCAATGTCTTCAAGTTCATATAGAAAAATACATTTGGTACACAAAGTAATCGTGTTAAAGTCATGATATTGGCGAAATAATGCAAACAACTTTTTACCAGAATGTAACGCGGGGTTTGAAAAATGGGGTATGTACGTTATTTCTGCTTCATTTTCCAATTTCATAAATTGTGTTACAACGCAAACGAAAAAACACAATTCTGAAATGGATTCTCAATTGTCTTCGAAACAAAAGCAATAATAGCGTGCCCTCTCCAGCTCATAGAAAAAAGTGTGCTGACTAGCAATGAGGCGGACCCTCTGGCATCTGGCTGCAATAAAAGAGGGGAAGCCGATGATCGTTGGCGTGTGCAAGACGTTTTCGTACATATATTCTCATGAAATCGCGCCCTTCGTATCAGCAATCTGAGAGAGAGGTTCAGAGTATTTTTACTCAACAAAATTGACGACATGAATGAAATCGACGCAAACATTTCTCGTTTTTTAAATTAATTTTATGAAATAGAGTGATCAATTGTCTTAATGTTTTAAGGCTCACTGACAAATAATAGAAAAAACTATTTGGGGCATAAACGATGCATAGAGTGATAGGAAATTGTATTCAATGAACAATTTCAATAATTGAAGAACTATAGGAAACCAATATTGTACTTCAATATTGATTGAGTCAACTCTTTCAAACAATGATAAAATACCTGTTGATGGATCAATGAAACATTTTCTTAAATTTAAGAAATTTCTATATTTCAATAATTGTAAAAATCATCGGAGTTCTTGAGCTCTAGGCTCGACCCTAAGGGATCTTTAGATCCTTCTTATGTTTCGTATTGCAAATATTGCAGGTTACTATTAGTTTCCTTTGCATATGCACCTCTTCAAGAAGACTTGTGAGACATACTCTTCATGGACAAACG